ATGTCTCCCTCTATTATGATATCTCCATTCTTGTTATCATCTATTCTTCGCCTGACTCAAACTTTCTGCTCCCTCATGTCCTCTGCATCCCTCTTCTTCTCCCCTTCTCATTATCCTAGCTCCCTCCCCCCTCTTCCCGTGCTCCCAATTTGTTCAGCAGATCTTGAACCTCTCCCCTTCTCCAGGGGACCATGTATGTTTCTCTTACCTTGTTTATTAGCTTCTTTGGCAGTGTGGATTGTAGGCTGATAATCCTTACTCTATGTCTAAAATCCGAATATGAGTGAGTACATATCATGTTTGCCTTTTTAGCGATTGGGTTACCTTGCTCAGAATGGTTTCTTCTAGATCCATCAATTTTCCTGCAAATTTCAAGATTCCATTGTTTTTTTCCACTGAGTAGTACTCCATTGTGTAAATGTACCACATTTTCTCTATCCATTCTTCAGCTGAGGGGCATCCAGGCTGCTTCCAGTTTCTGGCTATTACAAATGCACTATGTATTATTAACTGCTGAGCTATCTCTCCAGGCCAGAGGTTCAATACGTAAATTTTAGGGAATACAATTCAGTCTATAGATCTTCATCTTGCATGTGACCATTTATATGTTTCTCTCACTATAGATTAGTTTGCATTTTTAAAGAATTTTACATAAATGCAGTCATGACAAAGAGCACTCACTCAATTTTGTTTGGCTCTTTCACTTACTGTAACTACTTTGAGACCTCCCTGTAGCTATACATAATAAGTTCATGGCTTTTAGTGGTTGAGTTGTGTTCTTCACCAAGTGGATCTCTTCATGTTTCTTTAGTGCTATGAGACTTGGATGTTTTCATTCCTTCCCAAAGCCATTGCTTTCCCACCTAGAATGTACCTGGATCAGATCCCTGGAACAAACCAAGTGGCCTAAAACTACAGAAGTTTATTCTTTCATGGTTCTGGAGGCAACAAGTCAAAATCAAAGACTTAAGCAGGACTGAACCTTCCAAAATCTCTTCTAAAAGAGAGCTTAACCTCACTTCTTGCATTTTCAGGTGGTTGTAGATGTCCCTGGCTTCTCCCAGCAGACCCCAGAAGATCTTCATGCTTCTGTCTTCTCATGGCTTTCCCTTTTATGCCTGTAGTGTCCAGTCCTCTGCTTTCTTACAAAAACACCCACAAGTGGGCTTAGGGCCCATTCCATTTCATTTCTCAATTATTTTTGTTATTATTTGTGTGTTTACATGTATGTGTGTACATGCTTACATGTGCGTGTTTTCTCTGTGCATGTAAGTTCATGAGGAAGCTAGAATTTGATGTCAGGGCTCCTCTTCGATCACTCTCTACCTTATTTTTATTTATTTATTTTTTCTGAGACAGAGTCTTTTACTGAACCTGGAGCTCACCAGCTCCACTAGTCTGGCTAGTCAACGAGTTCTAGGGACCTGCCTATCTCAGCTTTTAGTGCTGGAGGGTTGACATGCAGCATCATACTTGGATTTTAGATGTATACTGCAGATCTGCTTTCAGGTTTCCATGCTTGCATGATAAGCACTTTGCCAACTGAGCCATCTCCCCAGCCCCTTAAGGCTCATGCTAGTCCAGAATATGCTTACCTAGTGATCATTACATCTTTTTTTGTTTGTTTGTTTATTTTTGTTTTTGCTTTTCGAGACAGGGTTTCTCTGTGTAGCTTTGAAGCCTATCCTGGCACTCACTCTGTAGATCAGGCTGGTCTCGAACTCACAGAGATCCACCTGCCTCTGCCTCCCAAGTGCTGGGATTATAGGCATGCGCCACCAATGCCCAGCTGATCGCTACATCTTAATCATACCTTCAGAGCCCTTTATTCCAAACAGGTCACTCACACTTTGTTTCCTTTGAGTGTCCCCTCTAAAGTTCCCTCCTTGTCTGTGAGCTGGCTCAGCTTAAGTCTCAATGTACTAAGCTAACTGTGATATAGGCAATGCAATGAACATGTGTTCCATTACAGATGAAGGTATTTCTCAAGCTCTTTACAGAAATTCCCCATAGTTCAATATGGCATATGTTGCTCCTCATTGCAACTAGTATTGAATATAATTAGTTGGGTATTGTTAAGATGAGTTTAAGTGGGAACCATATCCAACCCCCCAAAATGATACAGTAGGTGGCTGCTATAGCTATAGGCCTTGAGCTAGTGATTAGATGATGTTGATCACACATCAACACAATCCATTTAGAAATAAATACACCGGAGCAATGAAATACACCGCGACCGAAAATATGCACTCCCCAGGATTCAGCAGGGCCTTGCATACCTTTGCCTGACTTGGTCACCATTGACACCAGTTCCTGGTATACATTTATGTACTTTAAATATTTATTGGATGAATGAATGAAAATTTCAAACCTATTTTTTTCTCCCATTGTTTCCGCAGCTAAGGTTCCAATACAACTGGTGGCAGCCTACTGCTCCACGAAGGCCGCTCTGACCATGTTTTCATCAATCATCAGACAAGAGCTTTGCAAATGGGGAGTCAAGGTTGCCATCATCCAACCTGGAGGTTTCCAAACAAGTAGGTACCTGAGCCCAAGAGCTCGATAATGTCCACCTTCAAAGGGACCCTGACATTCATTCCTCTTGGTCAATTATGACATGCATCGAACCCTACAGGGTTTTCAGAGATGATCACAGATAGACATTAGCCATGAAAACTGATTTTATTCGATAAGAGCTAAGTTCTAAGCTGACTGTGTAGATGTCATTTTGGTGTTTTAAATATATCATTTTTAATTTATTTTTATTTATGTGTGTGAATGTATGTCTGTTTGTGTGTACACACACATGTGTGCAAGTGCCTGGAGAGGCCAGAAGAGGATGTTGGATCCTCTGGAGGTGAAGTTATAGGAAACTGTGAACCACCCCTTGTGAATGCTGGGAACTGAACTCTGGCCCTTGGCAATAACAGCAGGCACTCTTAACTGCTGAGCTTCCTCTCCAATCCTGACTTGGATGTTTAAATGGAGCTGACAGAGTGGGAAGAGCAAGGCACAGCCAAGTCAAACAAATACAAAACCACAAAGGCTTGGTCAGTGTGGAGGGGATGGTATTAGGACCCTCCCCCCACCACACTCTCCACAGTAGCAGGGAGACAGGCCTGATCCTTCTGGAGAATTCCTCAAAGGAGCAAGCTCCCAGGGCCTCTGGTTGCAGGGATACATAGTCATAAACTTGAACAACTTTTTGAGTAAATGTTCCAATGAAGAGATGCCAAGAGCCACCATTAGGGGGGTGCTTGCTAGGACACTAGGTATTGCTAGGACAATAGTGAGTTCTCCTGGCAGTGGTAGGCCTTCTCAAGAAGGTATTTTAGGACGGTTCATGTCTTTCTAAAATAGGGCCTGATACTGCTAATGCTGGGCTAGAGTATGGTCATTTTCTTAGTGCAGGAGTTTGGAGAGAGTTACTAAGGCGGGCTTCATTAACATATATATATGTACATATATATATCAATAATGGCAGTATGTTATGCATCAATAGCAGCAACAGCTTTTCCAGGTTCTGCAGTCATTTGAACAAAATTGTAGAGACATCCAGCACTCTCCATTAAAAAAAAAGTAAAAAACAAAATCCCAGAAAAACAGCACAGTTCTGTTACCCTTGTGGAACTGGCACCATTTTTTTTAAATTAGCTTCTCAGTCATCATCTGGAAGGAAACCATTCTGAGCAACATCATTTAAAACAGCTCTGATTAAAGCACGGTCACTACTATGTATCATAAAGCAGGTCCACATATGAGTAGTACATATCATGTTTGTCTTTTTGTGATTGGGTTACTTCACTCAGAATGGTTTCTTTGAGTTCCATCCATTTTCCTGCAAATTTCAAGATAGCATTGTTTTTTTTCTGCTGAGTAGTACTCCATTGTGTAAATGTACCACATTTTCTCTATCCATTCTTCAGTTGAGGAGCATCTAGGCTGCTTCCAGTTTCTGGCTAATACAAATAATGCTGCTAGGCTTCATCTAACTTTGAGAGGCAAATTTCTTCTGTGGATGAGTCCTTTCTGGGCTTCCTTTCTAGAAGTGGATGAGGGGGCTTAGAAGCCATAAACAAGCAGAGGCCATATTGAGTACAAACCTAGCTCCCCCTGATGCCCTCTCAGAACATGAACTTGCCCATGTCCCCTTCCACCATGCCCAAGATTTATTTGCTCTGTGAGAGCACAGCTCAGAAGTGACCCCAATGGACTCTCACTGCTTTTCCTGACCCACCTAAGCCCCACTTCCAATATGGTGTCTATCAGCTTCTTGCTGGGTTTGTTCATTTAGACTTAGAGAACAAACTGAACGAATGCACTGGGTAACATTAGGACCCCTTTCCTCCCTACAGCATGGCTTTCTTCTCTGTGCTTTAGAAACAGAATTTCTCTCCTCTTCTTTAGAGAACAGGACCACCTGCTTCCATCCTGGGAGATGCCATCCTTGCCCATAGCCTTCTTGAATTTCTGAACTCTGGGCAGAGACAGAAGGTTCATCTCTTTTTTTTTTTCCTGGATCATAAAACATTTGATTGGTCATGTTAGTGAAGGCGTGAGAAGAAAGTCTAATAAAGATCACAAACTGGAAGGTATTGCTAACCACAGAAGAATAAACCCTAAAGGTGTCAATGTCAGGCCAAATGCACAAGATACAATCACTCTATAAAGAAAAAACTAAACCATTGGCTGGAAGCACTGGACAGATGGGAACCTCACCAGGCTGTGGAAGCAACTTGGGAACCATTAAGAACATAACAAGGAACATTAGCCATATATGCTGAGAAGGGGATCAGGGTAACAAACAGAGAGAAGATGGTGTCTGTGGATGGGTTTCTAGTCCAAACTCCCCAGCAGGGAGGAGAGCTGGGGGGAGTTGATAGAGAAGATGAGTGGCTCAAATCTAGGCTGGAATGGAAAGGAAATAAGGGTGTTCTAGAAGGGGAAAGCCAGCTGTGAGCTGGTGGACCAAAGAAATGCTGCACTGCACTTAGATTTTGTACATTTCTATATTTTTATTTGCCCACATGCTATGGTGTGTGCATGGAGATCAGAGGCAACTATTGGATATTGGTTCTTCTCCTCCCACCATGGGATTCCTGGGAATCAAACTCAGGTTGTGTCAAATTAGAAGCAAACTTGCTTCACATGTCGATCCCTTCTCCCTCTCCCTCCCCTCCCCCCAGGCCCCCACCATTTTCTCATCTTAAACCTTTAACCCCTCCCAGCACTAGGGAGGCAGAGACAGGTGGATCTCTGTGAATTCAAGGTCAGCCTAATCTACAGAGTGAGTTCCAGGACATCTAGGATGGTGACACAGAGAAACTCTTGAAAAACCAAAACCAGCTCCCCCCAAAGCTTTAAAATGAAATCGTCCTATTGGGAACCTCTTCTAGGTCATTGTTATAATACAGGGCAGACTTAATTGATGTTCTCCAGGTGAGGGTGCCCCAAGGCAAGGTGGGTAATATGTCCCAGTACAGTCTCCTGGCATGGCATGTGCAGTCTCCTGGGACAGCATGATGAGGAGGGCAGATTTCTAGTGCCTCTATCTGGGACTTTCATATGAAGCTATCTCTGTAGTTGATCCTTGATGAGCTCCCTAAAGGCAGGGAGCCAGCAAACAGAGGGTAGGCTAGAGAACAATGTCTTGTGTTTCGTTTAACTGAAGGTGGAAGCAAGAAAGTAAGTTGGAAAGAAATAGGCACCAAGCTTCTAAAATCAGACAAGGACACAGATCAGATTTTCCTCCAGTGCTCTACAATAAAATAGCTAAGGCATTTCATTCCTAGCGCACATTAAACATGCTGGAATGGGCACCCAAAGTCCGTTCTCATATACCCCATCCACTCTGGCATGTCTAAGTGGCCAACCCTGAAAACATACACATGAGTAGCATTATACGGACCCATAAGATTATATTTAGAAATAATACACACACACACACACACACACACACACACACACACACACACGCACCTGAAACAATGAGTAATGTAAAAGGGGCTATAAATTTGAAACATAGCAAGCAGGGGTATATGGGAGGACTTATAGGAAGTAGGGGTATATGAGAGGAAAGGGAAGAGAGAAAGGATGTAATTATAAACTCAAAAAATAAAAGGAAGTTGACTTTTAAAAAAGCATTGATCTCATGGACCCCAGACTGATGGTTGGGAGGCCAGCATGAGACTGATCCAGATCCCCTGAACATGGGTGTCAGTGAGGAGGCCTCAGTAATCTATGGGGCTTCTGGTAGTAGATCAGCATTTATCCCTGGCATAAGAATGGTCTTTGGGAGCCCATTCCATGTGGAGTTCATTCATCCTGGACACATTGGGGAGGGCCTAGGCCCTGCTCCAGATGATATGACAGGCGTTGGGGATCCCCCATGGAGGGCCTCACCTTCCTTGGGACGCAGAGGTGGTGGTGGGGATTGATGGGGGGCAGGGGTGGAGGGGAGAGAGAGGGAGCCGGGGTTGACATGTGAAGCAGGCTTGTTTCTAATTTAAATACAAATAAATTATAAACAAAGAAAGCAAAAATAAAAAATAAAAAAATAAAGCATTGAGAAGCACTGTCTTTCTCAGCAGAGGCTAGCCCATAAACCCCTGTCTCCCCAGTTCATCCTTGCCTTTCCAGGATCTGAGCCTTCCTTACTTCTTGTGTTCCAGACCTTTCAGGCACACCTGAAATGTGGAGTAAGATGGAGAAGGAAATCCTGGACCACCTTTCGCAGGAGACACAGGATGACTATGGCCAGGACTATATCCACACACAGAACTTTCTCCAGACAATGAGAGACAGGTCCTTCCCAGACATCAGTCCTGTGATTGGTGACATCCAGCATGCCATTTCTGCCAGAAACCCCTCTTCCTTTTATTTCCCAGGAAGACTGACTTACCTGTGGATCTGCTTCATCTCCTATTTCCCGACTAGCTTAGTGGACTACATTTTGCAAAAATGTTTTGCTCCAAAACACATGCCAAGAGCTCTAAGGGCATCCAGTTAGAAGAAGAAGGCCCCAATGGGGTAGGGAATGTCACATTCTTTGGATGAAAGGGAAACCGCTTATTAAACTCATTTTCTACCTCAAATTCTTATTTTGAAATGTGTTGGTTTCTTTTGACGTAGTGGCAAGAGGACTGGAGAGTAGCAGGCAGCACCATGGAGAGTGCTGCAGAGACCTCCTACTGCCAGATAACTAGCAGATCAGGCTTTCCTCCCAGATGCTGGACATTCAGTTCTAGACCACGTCAGGACAGTGACTATAACGATAAACCAAGACTCAGGAAGTTTCCCTTTCTCAGCACATAATGAGAAGTATGTTTACACCATACTGAATTCTACTAAGTATGTGCTAGTGTATGTCTCAACAAATCAATGGGTTCTATCCAAATAGATCATTACTTCCTTTTCAAAGATGCCAACAACTACCCGAGTCCTTAGCAAATATAAGCTTTCTGGTACTGGCTAGTTTTGGCATAATGCTGATGGCTGTTGATTAGGGTGGTGGCTATTTAAGGTTGGGGTTGCTGTGGCAGTTTATTTGTATTTATGTTTATGTTGAGATGGATCTCATGTATTCCATGCTGGGCTCAAAAATCACTGTGTAGCCAAGAAGCCAAGTATTGCCTCAAACTCCTGATCTTCCTGCCTCTACCTCCCACATGCAGTCACCATGCCCTGCTTGAAATTGTGGGTGGGGGAGAGAAGAGACACAGAGTATGTGCATGTGTGTGTGTGAGAGAGATGTATGTGTGTGTGAGAGAGAGGGGGGAGACATAGAGACAGTGTGTACGTGTGTGTGTGTGTGTATGTGTGTGTGAGAGAGAGGGGGGAGACATAGAGAGTGTGTGTGTGTATGTGTGTGTGTGTATGTGTGTGTGAGAGAGAGGGGGAGACATAGGGACAGTGTGTACGTGTGTGTGTGTGTGTGTGTGTGTGTGTGTGTATGTGTGTGAGAGAGAGAGGGGGGAGACATAGAGACAGTGTGTACGTGTGTGTGTGTGTGTATGTGTGTGTGTGT